AAAAAAAAAAAAAATTCGGGGAAATTCATTTGAAGAAACACAGTAAATACTTAAAAACAAAAAGGAGGAAAAAAAAAATTGTGAACTACTATGAAATTTGGATCATATATATGATATAAATATTTTGAGTATATATTCTAAAAATCGGACTAGGCATCACTCGATCGACCATAATTTTCGTTTAGACGACTCTTCTAAGCAATAGGAAAATTAAACATTGATTTCGTGGGTTAGGCGGTTGAGAAGTTAGCCACGCGAATTAGGCTGTACTATATGGATATATAGTTATATATACTTAATTTGTTTTTAAAAAAAATGTAATAAAATAAGTTTTGAATATACTTCGAATATATAATATTATATTTATTTTAAAACAAAAAAAATGGCTTGTTAATAATTTTTTTAAAAGAAGCATGAATATGTTTTATTTTGAATGATTTTTATATTTGATCTATACTTAACATAATGTATCATACATGATAAGTAAACTTATTAATAATTTTATCCCCTACCTCGGTGGCAAGGCCCAACCCATCTATACTCGGTTAGTCCAGATGATCATACAAATTATGTAAATTGCATGTTACTGACCTATAACGTGAAAGTTCACAATAAGATGGGAATAAATTGAATGACCCAACCTTTGCTCTTAAATTTAGTAGATTAGTAAAACAAACAACTGACTCAATAGGCCAAAATAAATTTATCATAAGGACTCCAAAATGTTTAAAACTAATAATCAACAAACGTCTGACTCAACTCGACTCTATAAAACTCGGATTAACGCCTTTAAAACACCCAACACTTGTCCGGTCCAACTTGGATTGTTCGAAAACGATGATAATTAACTGGTACCTTTAAACCACTCGACACTTGTTCGACCCGTTAATAGATATATTTTTTGTATGATTCTTCGATTCAACCAGAAACTTAATTTTATTTAGGCGTTTCAAGTCCCAGTTCATATTGAAAATATTGCCCAATTAATTAGTTCATTTTGGGTTTAGAATATATAATAAATTAGCGGCTTAGGGCATGCTTGGATACAAATATATTTATTCAAAACGAGTTTTTTTTTTTTTTTTTGCTGATCATGATTAATGTTGTAAGAAACGGGGAGAAAACAGGTGCATCCCATGCACGTGAAGCGTACCATAAGCTGGGAAAACTCAGATGAAGTCCAAGTGAGATTTCATCCTAAAGTCAATTGGTGGAAGGAGGAGTAGTCCATTAAACTTATAAGTTAAACCTATTTTCCTATATATACGATTTGGGCACAACTCATATGTTAATATTATAATAAATGTTACAAAATATTGTATGATTAGTTATT